GCTGATAGTTTATCAGCAGGGTACAAAGGTGACACATTTCATCCACGGCGACGGTTAAAGAGTTTGTCGTGTGTTTGGTGTCAGTCATGTTTAAAGCATACCTCCTGAAAACTGCAAAATGTAAATACTGTAAAAGCACTTGAAAGTTTCCACCTGTGTAGTTTTCTCAGCTTCCACCTGAAGCACAGATCCCGGAGAAGGCAGATAATCAACTTAATAACAGTCAGTGCTAAAATGCATCTCAATGTACCGACAAGCAACTGTTTCTGAAAGCATGTCTGCTCAGTGCAGGCTGTTATTTACGTTTAGCTCTGTTGGTTTGGTTTGACAGTCAATTAGCATCGACAACAGCATAAATGAATTAAAAATAATAAGAATTAAAAAAATAACAAAAAAAACACACGCCAGTGGGAGAGGTTGGCATGAAGTCTAATCGTTGGGTTTTTATCTGACGAGCAGAAAGCGAACAAACATAAGTTTTACCTTCTAATGCCGGTTTTCTGCTGATACGCTCCCATTGATTGCGTCTGCTCCCTCAGACTGAGGAACTCCTGCTTCTCACTGCTGCCTTCTCATTGGTCAGCTGAGGGGCTTTTCTTCTTCGTGCTGCGCTGTGATCAGCTGCAGTGCTGCCCCCTGTGGTGGAGGAGGGTAGCCAATGTGTAAGCCAAGGAAGTAATGACAGAACAACAGGGCGTGAATAGGAACTTGAACTAATTGTAAAATACAAAGCAAAAGACACTCTACACAGCACATAACGTGGCGAACATATATTAAATATATTATTACACACAAGTCGGCCTCAACATTAAAACAACCTACCCAACATATAGGACTGCCTTGTGTCAACAACACAACTCAGACCAGTCAGGCTCATACACTGTATATAAAGGATGGATAAATCAACCCACCATTCTGAGCCTCAAGTTTGGTATTTGTCCCTTTGACCTGCTTGGTATTTTGAAATCAGATGTGAAGAGAAACGTGGATCTGACTGACGGACCTGAAGATACAACTCACAGTGATACAGTTGCACTGGTAATCACAAGGTAGCCCCACCCTGAAATGCTTTATTTTTTATTTTCCTCATTTAGAAAATGATCATGCTGCATTCAAGTGTCTTGAAAACAGTGACTAAGACCATAAATGCAAAAGGAGAATGTTTACTGAGGTAGTAAATCAAGTGACAGATAGGGTTATTTTCTGATAGACTTCTATACAATCAAACTGTTTGCAACCAGAGGAGTTGTCTCCTGATGGCCTCTGGAAAAAAGTGAAGGTTTAAGGCATTTCCACAGTGACTTCACTTTGCAGACCCAGAGGCTACGTCCATGTTTTATACACAGTGTATGTTTGGGGAATTATGGTTGTGGTATCTGACACTGGGATGTTGGCAGTAAATCCTGAGTTCTGTTGGTTGTGGGGTTGGTTCTCTACGTATCAGGCTTGTTCCGGCACATCACACAGATGCTCAAACAGATTGTCCCATCAGTAGCAGCCGCAGAGGTGTGCATGGTCTGCAACGCTGTTTAGGTGGGTGATATATGTCAGAATAACATCCACATAACTGTTAGTACCCAAGGTTTCCCAGCAGAACATTGCATTGTAATGACCTCATCATTAGTATTTACTTCACCAGTCAGTAGTTTCAATATTGTGACTGATGAATGATTTTCTAAATAATCTACGCAATCATGAACTCATTATTTAGTTTTTCTCATAATTTAGGACTTAGATTTTTTTTTTTTTTTAATTTCAGAACACCTCTTTCCTAGTCTTTTTTATGGTTATTTGATGGTTCTTTCAAAAAGCAAATACAATTTCAGCAGTTTGTGCGCCAATACAAGGAGGGAGGGACCACTGTTACACTGGAGCCAGTGCCAGTTGAAGACTACCAGCCAGCAAGAGAGTGCCAACCTCAGCACTCAACAGATCCAAGGCAAGTATATTGTCATGAGGTGGAAAAAAGCAGTTGTGGTTAACGTCTACATCCCTGCTGCTCCCATTGGTGGATTATTTATTCATTTGTAGGGGAGTTTGCTTAAAATCCATGAAAGTGAACTGTAATTTCTATTTCTTAATGTTTCAATCATAGGGTGGTGTTTCTAAAATTACGCAGATTTCTCTTATTCATATTTATTAATGCTGTAGCCGTGAAGCAATGTTTTACTTGGTTTAAGTGTGATATCTCTGTAAGAAAGTGCTGCCGCCTGCATTCCTGCACTGCCCTAATGCATTTTTCCTGTTTGTATTTCAAATTAAATATGGTGAACTGGAACCTTTG